ACTATTGAAGCCCTCTCAATATGACTATTGCAGTCCTCTCAATATAACTATTGCAGTCCTCTCATTATAACTATTGCAGTCCTCTCAATGTAACTATTGCAGTCACCTCAATATAACTATTGCAGTCACCTCAATATACCTAACTGTCTACAACATTGTATTCTACAGGCGTTTTCACTGGTCCACGGTTACTTGAAATTGGAGGTGGTCCTATCATCATGTATGTGGCAGCTGCTTGTACAAGATTTCCAGAAATCATTTTTTCTGAATATTCGGAGCAGAGTCGTCAATCTGTGAAATGTTGGATTGAAAACGACAAGCATGCATTTGACTGGAGTCACAGAATCAAGTATATATGCACATTGGAAGGAAATGGGTAATTTTTGTACTGAACTAAAATATAAGAAATTAATTCAAAATCGTTTGATAGGGTCTTAAGTTGTTAAATGGCAATATTTATAACTAATCATTTTGAATCACTTCCAACAAAAAATTGGCATTGAAAATGTATTTATTATAATTTCAGAGACAAGTGGCAAGAGCGTAGTGAAAATCTACGATGCTCTATCAAAGAAATAGTCCATTGTGATGTGCATGTCGATAATCCATTAGCTCCGAATCAATATGATCCATTTGATGCTATTGTGACTGCACTGTGTTTGGAGGCTGCCTGTCCAGATAAGGCTTCATACAGTAATGCTATGAGAAATGTGGCCAGTCTTCTAAAACCTGGAGGTGTGTTATTCTTATGTGGGGTATTGAATCAATCATTCTACGCTGTTGGCGCCAATAAGTATTGGACTTTATCGATTGATGAAGTATTTATAAAAAGTGCAATGACAGACGCCGGATTTATAGATATAGAGAGCAGTGTTATTCCAGCACCTAATCCTGATGGAAACAATGTGTCAGATTTTGGTGGTTTGATTTATATAACAGCAAAAAAAAATGGTCAGAACACAATAGAAAATGAATCAGCACACGAATGATAATGACGAAATATGTGTATAGTATCAGTAATAACTTATCAACGACATCTAATAAAAAATAATTGTTGTACAGTGTACTTGAGAGATTTATTTTATTGCTTGGAATATTGTCTTTTGGGCCACCACTTTACCACGACTTATAGTTTTGAATTAAATTCAGAATTGCCAATAATTTAATTGATACAAACACAAAACATAGTAATCAATTTGAGTTATTTTTGAATTGTGATAAAATTTAACTAACTATCCAAGTAGCATTGTTTACTTGCCAACACATACACTTGTAGACAATAATATAACAATATTGAACACGTTAAGTTACTGATGTTAGGTTACGAGTATTATTACATATATACTGCAATTTATTTTGATTCATCCTTGAAATCTAAATCGGTATTTCCACACCCCATATGCAAATGAGGTCTGAGAGTAGTTCCTTCAGGAGTGCCGTTTTTCGAAACATAACAGAATTAAACTATATTTAGAAGTACGATATTTTTCTCTTGGGATATATGAATATATTTGCCAAGTGAAATGAAATTTTAACAGTAATGGTACTTTTAGGCAGTCACTTATTTTGACTAAAACTAATTTGCATATCATGCGGTATTTTCAGGGTCGATATGCAAATAAACATGGTATTTCTATTGGCTACCGAACTATTTTTATTTTGTAAAAACACTTTCGTCTGCTATTTTTATCCGGTTCAAATTGTTCAGCAACATTTTTGTCATACTACGATTGGGAGAACTTAATGTATGTTGACCACCTAGAAACTGAGTTTTATAATTCTTGATGGGCTCTCGGAGGATCCACTCGCTGTAAAATCAGCGATTACTATGGAGCCGCAACCATCAACATCGAGATACCAGGAGCTTTCTGCTGGCGACGTTGCGGCGTTACTCAGTTCCAAATAAAGATTACTTACGCCAAATGAGCAACATTTGTACCGGTAACCAAGACTCAGTCAATCCACGACCAGCAAGCAACATCACAAACGAAGTTGTAGCATGCTGCTCAGCGACGACCGATGTCAACGAAAGTCATCCCGTCAGTGGAGTACCGCAGTTGCACGGCATGTTTGCCAATGCACAATTCTGTCCAGAAACATTTAACTTCAACATAAACTGTGTATCATAGTCGTCCAGTTTAAGTTCTGTCGTGGTCTAAGCGCCCACGAGTTATTTAGATTAGACGTCTGATTATTTTATTTCCTCGCTGACAGTGACACACGTTCTACACTGACACGCGTTACTAGGGCGTAACACTATCTTGAAACACATCAATGGCCAATGGGGTTTCCTACCTAAATTCATCTTGGTTTGTTGCACGTTCTTTATTTAATATGAAATAATCAAATATGGAACATATGTAATAATAACGGAACCCCACACCCTCTCCAGATGTGGTTCGGCCGCAGGATACACCGCATCACTCGTGAAAATAACTTCTATATGCAACGAAAGCTATGGGGGAGAGTGTGGGGTTCTGTCTTACTCTACCCTTACTTGTATGCCTTCCAAAAAACATACTAATACGAACACATAAATATATATAGTGATTATATTATACAAAATTGTATTATTTATTCTGTTTTAAGGATAGGCATATTTAAACTATGGATTTTTATGGACTATGGATGTGAAACTTCTGTCGACTCCAGGAGCCTTTGCCATTGACTCTCTGTCGTTCACATGGGCCCACATGGAGGCGTACGCTTTTCCCCCTTCCCACTAATTCACCGGGTACTGGAGAAACTTCGACAGGAGCGCACTTGCATTTTGACGTTGGTTGTGCCCAACTGGTCAACTAAGTCCTGGTTGCCACTACTGTTGGAAATGTTAGTCGAAACACCAGTGGTTCTTCTGGACATACCGGATTTGCTGTCCCAACCGAATTGTGCACTACCACCCAGGGGTGTACCACATACACGCATCGAGGCTCTCAGTAGACTCGCAAAGCCGAAAGGTTTATCTGAGCGGGCTGCTAACGTCCTGGCCAGAAGAATAGGGATTCCACCAATGCAGCCTATAAATCAAAATGGCGGACGTACATTGATTGGTGTAGTTAAGGGAGATTGATCCATGTCATCCCTCTGTTGGCCAGGTAGCTGATTTTTTCGTCCATTTGTTTGACAAGTTGGACTTGTTCTATGCAACGATCGTCGGCTATAGGTCAGTCTTGTCCCTCACCATCAAGAATTCTTTGGGGACAAGACTAGCCGATTGTCCTATTATTAGGAGACTGTTTACTGCTTTTCATAACCAGAGGCATAGACTCCAAACGAGGGAACCGCCAAATTTTGACTTGTCAGTTGTATTGTCCGCTTTTAGCAGACTTCCCTTTGAACCTCTGGGATCAGCACCACTGAAATATTTGACGTGAAAACAGTCTTCCTACTAGCTCTCGCCTCGGGTCAATTTGAGCTAGGGACCTTGTCCTTCTTGGACGGTTGTGCTGCCTTTATGGACAATCAAGCTGTGCTAAGGACACGAATCAGGTTTCTCGCCAAGAACCAAATCCCAGGGCACGATCCCCATCCGATCGTCATTCCCCTGTCTGGCCAACATTGTTGGCCCAGAGGAATAAGAGGAATTGCTTCTGTACCTGGTTCGAGCGTTGAGTTAATACAGTTCAAAATGGTCATTGTGACTGACTGGAGTCTTCGCGGTCCTTCGTTTTAGTGAGTACCACGGGGGGGGGGGGGGTTCGTCTGAAAATCTATCACAATTAGTCTATTCTGTTTATCTATAACAGTCCAGCCTCTAGACAGTGTGTTTAATACAGCCAGGTAGGAAGATTTTTGGGCATACGTACACATTGCGGTCAGAACATCACGATGCCACCTAGGCATGCTCCTGGCAGAACATTGTAGTTTATAAACGCGTGTTTATGGAAAACGGTGTATTTGCAAAAACATGAGAATTACTACCGAACAGTATCGCTGACTTGCCTGAAGAACATTGTGAATCATTGTCAAATTGTATAGGAAACTAACTTGACTGAATTACTGCCAGATTGGAGACATGAGGTCAGGATAGAAATAACCTTTGTCCCCACTCCTGCATTCCTCCCGGAGAAACCCCAGTGGAATTGGAAGCACGTGTAGAAGCAGTCTTCCCTTGGCGACCGAGGTGTGAGCAGGTCGTGGTCATGGTATCTCCCTGCATTTTGTGAAGAGATCCGGGCCATGCTGCGTGAAGACTGACCAAAAGAGTTCTACTAAGCCGACAATGGAAGCCACTAATAGTGATGTGAACATACCAAGCACTGAATATCGTGCTGACTGAAGACAAAGGAATCATCGATTTGATACCACCACAAACTGACTACAAAGATCATGGCATTTGTTACCGGTAACCCATATACACACTCACATTAGTATAGGGAATTCCAGAGGCTGTAGTATTGTTTGTTATTATTATTATTGATTGTATTGTTTGGAGATAATTATTAATTGTACGTGCTATTTTGCATAAGTATATTAAATCTATTAATTTTACCAATATTGTGTTTTCATTACATGCGAGTGACGTTATACCCTGCAATTACTATATTACGATTCCAATCTGGTCATTTATTGAAAGGTCCCATGTGGCCGTATTTGTGATGGGTGAAAAAAGAACCCACAATCACGGGTATTGGTGGTGTTCTTCACGGACAGAATTGTTCGTGCTGAATAACATTCAACCTCGTTACACTATGGTGGGTATGAACTATGTGATTAGGCGGTTTGAAAACCCTCTGCCTGAATCTTGTGATCGATGCTAAGTTTGGTTTGGTTTTCTATTATATTGATTCTGTATCAAAAAAAGTTCCTATTATACCCTTAACCCTTACCCAAGCCCCCGAATTAAGCTGTATATGCCCCTCTAGATTACTATACGTGTCAATTAAATTGGGAAGTTCTGGATGGTAGGGGAAAGATTAGACTTAAATAATAACGCATGTTTGTAAGGGCGATAGCGAGATTTGTTGTCTTCCCAAGGGATGGTGATTATGACCATAATATTGATGATGCCAGAGCCAAAGGTAAGTCTAGTAAATAAAACACTGACTAAAATCAAGATAATATTCCATTTTAGAACGATATATTTATATTCAGAAATAAATTATTAGGAAACTGTCTAAAATGACCTTTGTGCATACATGTCCATCTGTATGTCATACATATGTGCACTTCAAGTTACTTTCTGGAATGAATGAACAGTGTAGAGTACATTGTGTATACTCGCTTCCTAGTGTTCACCAGCATCACAGTAAACACCACTGCAAGCTACTTACTGCATTGGAAAGAACAGTGGTAGAGTACATTGTGTACTGACTTGCTAGCGTTCACCAGAACCACAGTAAACACCACTACAATCTACTTACTATATCGGAATGAACAGTGTAGAGTAGATCTTGTACTGACTTCCTAGCGTTCACCAGAACCACAGTGAACTCCACTTCAAGCTACTGGAATGCATTATTGTGTTACATGCAGAATTGAATGTGATTTATGGTTCAGAAGTTCATGAAATGTAATAGTTACTTAATTTGAAAAACTCCAAACAGCACATGTAACTATACCATATTAAATCAAAACACCAAGTCAAATAATTTCAAACATTGAAACAATAACATTGATTTTACTTTAACAACGGATATTTAATTTATACAACCCTCAAAGTGAAATTTATTGTTTTATTGAATAGTAAACTTGTATTTGTTTTAGTGGGTGCAATCTGTGAACAGGGTTTCTATTAAAATTTGTCTATTCTGTGGTTCCGCAGACAACTTAACGGTTTTGTGCGCTCAGGTTTTTTATGTGTTTACTCGTTAATCAAACAATGTCAGAAGATAGGGTTGACCCTGAAGGCATTCTGATGGCTTCATTGCATGACTACAGAGGATTGTACATAATCCAGTGGAAATAAACTATGCCTTAAGTATCCAAACCCATACGCACACTGCAAATAGTTGTCTTGATCGCAAATAAATGAAATTTCTGAAATGTC